TTTTAATGCTTCATATATTATAACATGTTAGTTCTTTATCTTAACAAACTAATATTGTGGAGATGTTTCATGCATTTAATTAATCTTATTTTTTTAAATTGTTGAGCTGTAGGTAGTTTACATGGGATTAGGATAGGATATAATTATTATTAGGATAGATTAGGACTTAATAAAATATTCAAAATAGTGAAGGGTAATATTAACCATGGAAAGTTTTTTCTGAACTCGTACTTTCAAAGAGAGTATGACGATTGAAAATATTTAAGTCACTGTTTGTTCCAAATGCCTGAAATATTCCACGATATATTTCTTCAATAAAATTCCATCAGTTTTTAAATAATTTTAGTTTCTTAATAAAATAGGGAAATCTGTCATATAATTTATATAAAAACATGTGAAATTTTTGTGCATTATTTGTTATAGGCTGCAAGTTAACTGAGTATCAATCTCTAATAGGAAACCAACACGTGTCCACCCCATGCTTAATCCGATCATTCTAGAACCCGACAACTCGAGTTGTACCTGCGACCGATTCCTAAGTCGACAATTTGCGTAGACGGCTAAAAAGGTGGTACTTGTCGTCCTACCCACCAAATCGATCCTATGGGCACTCGCACTCGGCCTATTGTTCCAGCCGATAACTTGCATAGCCGACTAGAGAGGGGTGTTTGTCGACCTTTAGCTGGACGGCTAGATGGGCGGTGTGTCCTCGAACCCCCCCTCCCCGTTGAGAACCAACTACCCTCGCATTAACTGCCCTAACAAAGTCATAATTGCTCTATCTCCTATAGTCTTTATGACTTATTGGGTCCAGTCAGCTCTAAATACTTGTTGTCTCCCCCACAATAAACCACTGAATGACTCATCTTCGCCAATGGCCGACGCTTGTTAGCTATCACCAAGTCAGCTACCTGCGTGGACTCGGCTCAAGTTACTTATCTGCCCTTCTGATATACTATAAAAGGAAGTCATGCAGCTCAAGGTAACTCTTTGGCTTTTCACGCACCTTTAACATCTTTTTTATCATCTCACATTTTCTCACTCAAGTTCATATATTGATTTGATCGTCAGAGGAACAACCAAAAAACCAAACTCCGGCCTCTTACGAGTTCTTCGTGTGTAGGCAAGAACAACAGGCTTCCGGACCAGCCATCAGAAGAAGTTTTAGGGCTCTAACCCAACACTAATCCCCAAATAAATCTTCTGTTCAATAACTAACATCAACAATTATCATATCATATCACATACCCCTTATAAAAGTGTGAGCTTAGGGGGGGGAAAACTATAAATGGTCAAAATTGTTATAGTGTTTCACTCGCCAAAGTGTAGCCCTTTGCCATCAACGGACATGTGTACTTCTGCATGCAATGCCCCAATCAAATTGACGGGCACGACTAGCAAATGTCCCTACTTAGTCGACTCCCCGAGTCGACAACTTCTTATGTCGACTCAAATGGTGGTACTTGTCGGTCCTTTTATCGAAGACGACTCACAACGAGCCCACTCGACCAATTATTCGATGTCTCACAAGGTCGACTCGAAAGGCGTTACTTCTCAGCCAAGTTAGAGAAAAACTTTGACCTTGAGCTCCCCCCACTGACAACATCGACGTCGCATTTAATGTTTTACAGGTGCCATCATGCCTCTAGCCCTGAAGTCTTCATGACTTACCAGGCCACATCGACACCGTCATGCCTCCAATCGCTTTTTATTTAATGCTGAGGTGATCTTTCCTCGAGTCGCCAGCCGACGCCTGTAAAGCAAGTGTCGACGCAGCCGCCAGCCCATGCTCCTTCACCGCCATCCTATGCTCGACCACAATGATGGTTCTGCCCTTATACAACTGGTATAAATAGAGGTACTATTCTAGATATCAAAGTAAGCGACTCTGAGCAATTCCACTACACTAAAGAACTCTCACAGTTCTTTATTTTCCCACTCAAGCTCACCAGCTGACTTGATCGTCGGAGGAACCGTGGGGGAACCAAGCCCCGTCCTCTCACGAGTTTCTACTTGTGTAGGCTTCAACCACTTGACTTAGAACCGAATATTCAAGGAAGGGAGTGACCCCTCATCAACCTCATCCAGCCAATATAATTGACTGTGTGATCACTTAACATCAACAAAAATTATTCTTAACCCTTTTGAATATTTCATTGTTATCTTATCCTAATTATAATGACAAAGTTAAAATTTAGAAAGATCATCTTTAGTTAAACTAAGTTTATCATCTAATCCAATTTATTAGTTGACGAATAATTTGAATGATAATGATAAAGTTAAATTTTAGAAAAATTATCTTTAGTTAAACTAAGTTTATCATCACATTCAAACTATTAGTTGACGATAAATTTCAAAGGTTTAAGGACATAGTCCTTTCTATTTTGAATGAGTTACTTGCATATATACCCCCAAAATCATAGAATTTGCAAAAAACATGCTTTAAATCTTAGTATTGAAAAAAATACCCTCAAATCTATTAATCATCAACATTGATAAGCTAATTTGTAATTGCAACATAAAATTTATTAACAAAATGGTCAAACCTGTAGCTCCAAATTAAAATTTAGAAAGATTATCTATAATTAAACTAAGTTTATCATCTCATCCAATTATTAGTTGATGAAAAATTTGAATGATGATAAAAAGTTAAAAATTTAGAAAGATTATCTTTCGTTAAACTAAGTTTATCATCTTATCCAATTATTTGCAAAACTAACCGACAAATATTCAATTTTAGGAAAAAATTACTCTTAAAACAATTAATCATTAATAATTAGAAAGATTATCTATAGTTAAACTAAGTTTATCATCTCATCCAATTATTAGTTGACAAAAAGTTTGAATGATGATAATAAAGTTAAAATTTAGAAAAAATATCTTTAGTTAACTAAGTTTATCATCACATTCAAACTATTAGTTGATGATAAATTTCGAAGGTTTGAGGACATAGTCCTTTCTATTTTGAATGAGTTATTTGCATAAATACCCCTTAAATCATGGTATTTACTACCCCTTAAATCTATATCTGCAAAACTACCCCTTAAATCTTCCATTTTAGGAAAAAATTACCCTCAAAATAATTAATCATCAATATTAATAAACAATATGTAATCTCGACATAACATTATCAACAAAATAGTCAAGATTTTAGTACCAGGTTGATGATTTGTTGATTTTAGGATTTTTTGACAAAGTTTATGATTTGAGGGGTAGTTCTGTAAATACTATAATTTGTGAGGTATTCTTGCGAATACTCATAATTTACGGGGGATATATATGCAAATAACTAACCTTATTTACTAACCCACATATCCTATATATATACATTATCAATCCACCAGCCAAAAAAAAAGAGGGAAATTTAACTCCCAAAAAAATCATCAGCAAAGACTCCCCATAACCTAGATCATCTCCTTATTTTCAATTAAATTTTTTTTTCTCCCTTAAACATCATCAAAGCCAAAAAGAAAACCTAAATTAGGTATCTTAGTATTCTAGTGGTTTGCATCTACCCAAGAGACCTTATTCATGGCTATATATGTATGAATAAATTGGGAGGAGACAACAAAGTTTGTTGTACATCGTATTGATAAATATCGAGTTACCATGCTTATCCGAGTCACTATACGCATCCTGAGTCATCATACTCATCCCTCAAGGCACCAACATCACCTAGAGCCACAATGGTCAACTCTTAAGTCACCATACTCACCCACGAGCTGCCATGCTCAAGCTTAATCATGTTTTGCCTTGTTTACATTGCAAAATAATTTTGCATATAGCTTTTTATTTTCTACGAGATCTTTTAGCAATTAGCTAATATTTCAATTCAAGTTTATGCATTTCAAACTAATTTCTATAGGTTAATCAGGCTAGGATATCATTCAAATGCATCCTCCTCTAACTTTACACAGACATCACAGGTATGATCACGCATGCAATTTTTTTTAACGAATTGGTTATACCCAGTTTGATAATTTTTAACTTTGCTTTTGCCTGAAATTGCAATTTTTATATAATTAACTAGTTTTAGAAGTGCCATATTAACCATCCAATTGGGTAATTCTTTGGAGAATGCACTAAACTAGATATGCTTTGGTTAAGAAATAATTTCTTTTATGAATAACCAGTTTGATAATTTTTACCCTCTCTTTTTTTTAAAAAATTTGTAATTTTTAGATAATTAAGCAATTTCAGAAGTCTCACATTAACCATCTAATTAGAAAATTCTTTGAAGAATAGTAGAAAATTCTTTGAAGAATGCACTAAGCTCTAGATAATGCTTTGTTTAAGAAGTAAGCTTTAGTTCTTTATTTTAGTTAGTTTTTTGGCATCTAAGTGTAAAGAAGATAAGCTTTGTTTTATTAAAACTTGAGATAGAGGAAAAAGTTTAGAGAGAGAGATTGTAAGCTTGCAAAGAAGAAATGACAGTTTAAGGATTCAAATGATTGAATGTAAATTTTAGTTTATTATTCAAGGTTGACTTTTGGTACTTATCCATGAAATTATAATTTGTGAAGACTTGATTGTTAGTATTCTCCTCAACCAATTAGTAAAAATAATATCTTATTTAATTTTTAATAAAATTATATTTCCCTCAACATTCAATATCCTTCCAAGTTCTCTAAGCTTTTTGTCTTTGTTTATATTGTACTTTAAAGCTTCATATTTTTCTTTCATATTACTAGCGTAATTAGTACTTTTAGGACAATGAAGAAATGCGTGAGAGATGCAAAATGAAAGTAGGGTCAAGATAATCGTTTCTTGTTTTTTCATTATTTTGGTTTTGTTGATGTTAATTTTATTGTCAGAGGAAAACCATGTAGCTATCTATGATACTCGATCACGTGCAACGCACCTGCATCTCAACTAGTTTCAGCAAATGCAAGACTTTTCAGGGTTGTATCTGAAAATCCTATTGGAAAGTTTGCGACTGCAATTATAATTTTACATTTAACTACTGAGACTTTGCATTCCTTGCCAATTTAATGTGCAGACTTACCTCCATAGTCCGCACCGCCAAAACTGCAAAGACCATTTCCTCAATTTCAGAGAAAACCCTAGAGTCCATGTCCGAGAGAGCCAAGGGCAAGCGACCGCTCGTCGACGACGAAGACGGCGACTCTCACTCTGCGATGTAAAATCCACTCGCAAAACTCTCATTTCTTGTCCTCGATCTCGAGCCCTAGGGGCTTGCTTGCAAATTTATTTCCCCTTTTGCAGGGAGAAGAAGGTGAGGTTTCCAAAGGGGAAGAAGGCGAAGAGAGGAGAAGGCGATGGCGTGGTCCACCGTCGAGATGACGAGGACGAGGATCTGGACGCAGTGGTGGACCCCAGGCTGGCGGCCAAAGAGCGCGCGAAGCGCCGGAGCCAGATTAGGGAGGAGGAGCTTTTTAGGGATCAGCAGGCTGATGTATCCGCTGCCGAAGTTTATTACGATGTTTGCCACTCTCTCCCTCTCACTCTTTCACTTTCTTTAGTATATTTTTTGATCAATTAATTGTGTATATTACTGTTCATTGAGAAACAAGCATTTCCCCTGAAAAATTGGTAAAGATCTGCCCATTTTATCAAACAATTTACTGGAGGTAACTCCGATTAATTCATACAAACTAATTCTTATAATTGATAATACGCAAAAAATAGATTGTCGACATC